GAGAATACAATGGAACAGACTACACGTGGGTATTAGTGGCATTGAATAAACACACACTATAACACGCACTACTGCGTAGGGAGATTATGATAGTAAAATATGATGCCCAAACGAATGAGGCTGGAATGATGAGGTGTAAGGGAAAGGTTTAAGCCGACTGATCTTGCCACATTTTCCGATGACAGTCGTTCCCTACAAATTCTAATACCAACCCCTTTTCCAGGAATTTTCAGGTCTATCCTAGATCGACAGGGTCAACGTAGTAATCAATGTATTACTGATGATAATATTATATTTGTATTGTTAGCTATTTGATGCCCGTGATGTCTTCACTAGTCGAGGGATGTTTGATGCCATAATTAAACACATCAAATATGGTACCAATAAGGGTAACATTAGGTATGACTTGTGTTATGTAAAACGCTAAAATACCTTTTATGGCATCAATTCCATTATTATTATAATCTTCATTTATACTTTTCGTAGGTCTACTATCACTGTGTTTCCTCAACGTAAGGAACCCAAGAAAGATTTCCGTGTGTGGAACGGTCAGTTGATAACATACGCTGGTTATCGTCAACAAGATGGCTCCATCATCGGCGACCCAGCTAACGCAGAATTGACTGAAGTACGTGTATTATATCAATTATAATAAACACACATATGTGTACATTAACATCATTTCTCACTTCAGATATGTATTTCTATGGGATGGGAGCCAAAAGGTGGTCAATTTGATGTTCTACCTCTTGTCTTACAAGCTGGAGGAGAAGAACCTGAAATGTTTGAGATTCCACCTGAACTGGTTTTAGAAGTAAAACTCAAGCATCCAAAGTATGTGCAACAAAATAGATTTATTATTAATAAATTGTTATCGCAGCAATGGGCAGTTCGAGGAGATAAATGTTAGAACAGATTAATTGGGTTTGACTTTGAAGACCTTGCGTGCATTGAAGACACTCGGTGCTTGTCTGAATAAACAATCAATCGGCCCAAAGAATCATCAATGTCTGGAGGAGCAGTGATCTGATGCTCACCTCAATCTCACAAGCCGAGTCTTCATATTTACTTGACATATATTCAGTACTTTTTTTAATCGTTCTGTTATAGGTACCCATGGTTTGAAGAGATGGGTCTAAAGTGGTATGTTCTGCCTGCCATCTCGTCTATTAGTCTTGATGTTGGTGGCTTAGAGTTTCCAGCTTGTCCTTTCAATGGCTGGTGAGTACTTTCCTATTTTTCTTTCAACACGGAGGATTGTCTTCTATTTTCATGCATTTCTTCTTTATTCGTTTAGGTACATGGAAACAGAGATTGCAGCACGTGATTTAGGTGATCCATCTCGTTACAACTTACTTGAGGTAGGTGTACATCTCGCTTTCAAAGATATGATTTCTATTAATAGCCTTGATCTCATTTAGCCTGAGGTCCCTTCATTATAGCACAAGCAAATGGAGTTTTGTCCAATCATATTTCAGCCTGTAGCCAAGAAGATGGGTCTAGACACAAAAAGTAATGCTTCACTGTGGAAGGACTTGGCTTGTATTGAGATGAATGTTGCTGTACTGCATAGCTTCCAGGTATTCTGTTCAGTACAACATATTAATATCCAGTAATATCACACATTTAATAAACCTGTTTTTATTGGTTGTATATTAAAGGAGGCGAATGTAACCATCACTGACCACCACTCGGCATCAGAATCCTTCATGAAACACTTCGAGAATGAGGTACGTCTCTTGTCATGCACTTGTCGCCTCATTACGTCACGTCATAACGCGTGGTCGAGCACAAAAGTTAACTATCACGCAGCCTCAGTAGCCTGAGCTCTCCTCCAGTGCCTTAGCACTATCACTTGTCTTCGACTTTTTGAAGCCATGTAATAAAGGAAGTCAATGCGATGCGAATAGCTACAAACTCCTGTAACCCGCGATAAGGATTTGTCACTGAGCCATAACTGAGTTGTCAATATATCTTACCTTGCTTATCCCAATGGACTATTGCATAGAAATACTATAATTTTTTGTGACCTAGAACAAGCTTCGTGGTGGCTGCCCTGGTGATTGGGTGTGGATCGTTCCTCCTGTGTCAGGCTCGTCTACTCCTGTCTTCCATCAGGTCATCACATTAGTTCTTTTCGTTCTATTCATGTTTTAGTTTACTTGTCAAATAACGGTCTGTCTGTAGCTAAACATTGTTACTTTTCTTTACAGGAATTGCTCAATTACTCTCTCAAACCGAGCTACGAATATCAGGTAATCGATTAATGACAAGGTATTTCTTGTCTCTAATGGTAGTTTATCAGTTAATAAGTGCTTTGTTGTGTGTGTGTCTCGTAGGACGATCCCTGGAAGCATTATCGCATCAAGAGAAAAGAATCTGATTTGCCCATGAAGAAAATAGCTTTCAAAGAAGTAGCAAAGTAATTCAATTATTTCCTTCATTTTATCCTCATTTGGGGGTTGAATAGTCTTCTTGAGATATTATTCATTGCTTTCAGGGCCGTTAAATTTTCAGCCAAACTAATGGGTAACGCCATGGCCAAAAGAACCAAAGCCATTATTCTGTACGCTACTGAAACTGGCAAATCTGAGAACTACGCCAAGATGCTCAGTGAGATGTTTCTACATGCGTTTGATCCAAAGGTATGTAATACTACAATTAAGTAGTGTTTATAATCTATAAGTAAGAAAGTAAAGAACGTTCTCAAAAAAGGAAATGATATTTTGAAGGTGATGTGCATGAATGACTATCCTCATCCTGAGCTGGAAAACGAACAACTGGTTTTAATCGTAACGAGCACGTTTGGGAATGGTGATCCGCCAGAGAATGGAGAAGTACGTGACCCTTCACATCAACTACCAATTGCACAGCGCGGAGGAAAATTGCTCATTCATTCACAATGCGCGGATGCGTGCCAACTTAACCATCATCATCCCCATCACGGCACGGCACGGTACCATCACGATCACGGTACGACACGGTACCATCACAACCATGACACTGTCCATCACTATCACGATCACGGCACGACACGGTACCATCACAACCACGACACTGTACCATCACTATCACTATCACGGCACGACACGGTACCTTCACGATCACGGTATGACACGGTACCATCACAACCATGACACTGTACCATCACTATCACGATCACAGCACGACACGGTACCATCACAACCACGGCACTGTACCATCACGATCACCGTATGACACGGCACCATCACGATCACGGCATGACACGGTACCATCACAACCACTGCACTGTACCATCACGATCCCGATCAAGGCACGTCTGTGTCTTCTTTTTCACAGTCATACGAAATCTGCTCTGTAAAGACCTATAGTCTTCGTTTAATGAATGAAGCATTAATGATGATACAGTAATGACTCTACTAACGCTTGGACCTTTGATTTCAGTCATTTGCTCGGTACCTTTATGAATTACGTCATCCTACCAACGAGTAAGTAAAACAGTATCAAATACTTCAAGGAATAGCTAGAGAGAGAGGACAAGCCAGAGAGAGAGAACATTTTATTTTGACCTAATAATGCAAATCCCACTTCTTTGTTCAATTTGCTCAGAAAAACAGAAAACAACAAAATGGCCGCGCAGATCAGCAGTCTTCTCATCCAGAAAGAAAAGGAAAAAGGCTTGAATATGAAGGACGATGAACTACGTTTAGCTAGTCTGAGGTATACTGACTGAAATAAACCAATAAACCTTCAATACTATTAAATATTTAATTATATATTATTTATTAATATTTGGGTCCACGTGACAGGTATTCTGTTTTTGGCCTTGGGTCACGTGCTTATCCCAACTTTTGTGCGTTCGCAAAGTCTGTTGATAAAATCATTCAAGAGCTTGGCGGAGAGCAGGTTTACAAGATGGGTGAAGGAGATGAGTTATGTGGACAGGAAGAGGCGTTCAAGACTTGGGCAAAGAATGTATTTAAGGTAAAGTAAGACTTCAGCATATATAGATCTAGCTGGTTAGTAATCATCTATTTTGAACATGCGTACAATGATTGTTGACAGGCTGCATGTGAAACATTCTGTGTTGGTAAAGACGTGAATATTGAAGAAGCTGATGCGTCCCTGAACACTTTATCCAGGGGTTGGTCACCTGATAAGTACAGATTTACTAAAAGCAAGGAGAAGCTACAAGACGTTTGCACTAGTAAGTAGAAGCAATTCCCCTGGGCTTCCTGTGGTATATGTGGACGAGTTGATTAATAACAAGGTCAAGGACAAGAAACTCCCTTTTTGGTCCCTTCTTTTTCCGCATTTAGCTCAAGCGTAATCCTCTCTAGACAATATAACACAGGAAACCCAGTTTTCTAAACGTATTTGATTGCTTGGTAACCAGGAAGTGCTGCTGGTATATTAATCAAAAGCTTTCGGAAACTTGTCAAGTCCAATTCTAATGATCACACATGTCGGATCACATTTTAAAAACCATGGGCCGGTCTTCGGCAAACCGCTCGAGAATCCTCAATGCTGATTGGTGAATATTGAAAAATCGGACATCTTGACACATCATGACGTGTTATAAAAGAACTCTCCACTCCTCCCCTCTGGGGTCATGCATTGTTGTACGATGTATCACTGGCTTTCATGTACTAAAACCATTTTTATCTTTTCTTGGCAGATCTTTCCGTGTCTCACAACAAGACAATCATACCAACCAAAATCATGTCAGTCAAAAATCTACAATCACCAGATTCAAGGTGTGAAGGATAGGCTTTAACAATAGGCTTAGTTTTAAGGGGTGAAAACGGATCTACTGTGTGGGTTTGTTGGAACCTAAAAATGTCAGTTGTATACAAGTGTGAAGAGGTCCTACATCTACATCACACCACCACTACCTATGTGATTCCTGATATGCTATTGTTGATTCTTTTTTGAAGCCGCGCAACTTTACTGGTACGTCTAGATACGAGTAATAACGAGGACTTCAAATACAAACCAGGCGACCATCTGTCTCTATTCCCTGCTAACAAGGAGTCAGTAGTCCAGTCATTACTAGACCGTCTGTGTCAGGCACCTGATCCTGATCAGCCAATCACAGTCGAGGCTTCACGTGAAATGTCAGGTAATATAGACGTGACGTGACGTGAAGGTACCATCTCCAAGCATTTCCAATGGCCGTGTGCCGTTTTTAAATCAATCTATACGTATACGTATACCTGAACATGAGCTGTGAACTAACTTGTCTTGCTGTCTTGTTCAGGTCCTTTTGGAACGACCAAGAAGTGGGAGAAGCTGGGGCGGTTTCCAGTACCCATAACGCTACGAGAAGCATTCAGTCGACACATCGATATCACAGGCACACCAGCACCACAGATACTCAACTACCTCTCTACACAGGTGCGTTAGAAATAAGTTACTCTGACCGACGTTACAATATGGCTGTGTAAGGAACTACCAGATATTAGTTCTAGGATAAAGGATAACCATGGTAAATTGAACTATCTGTTTAAATAACAGGCTACTGATCCCGATGAAAAGAAGTTGTTGGAAGAACTAGGAAAGGTATGTGAGTGACCTTAAGAAAAAACAGTTAGTAAAATTTTTTTTTCATTAATTGTTTCATTGCGACTGCAGGGTGACACGAGTTACGAGAACTGGAAGTACGACAAACAAGCCAATATTGTTGAGGTGCTAGAAGAATTCCCGTCACTGAAGGTCAACGCAGAATTGCTCCTTACGCAACTACCATTACTACAACCTGTGAGTACATGTCTATTTAGGCGCCAATTTAATGACATCTATCAGTGATAATCTTTCTTGTGTTTCTCTGACAGCGTTTCTATTCTATCTCTTCATCACAAGACTTGTACCCAGGAGAGATCCACGTGACAGTAGCTGTAGTTAGGTTTACAAAACGAGGTAAGATAGCTTTATAACATTAGTAATGTGATGATGTCAGTACCAAAATTACATGTGCGTTATTCTATTGAAGGTGGTAGAGGCCCAGTTCATCACGGCGTGTGTTCTACGTGGCTAGAGAGTCTAGTACCTAATGACATTGTCCCATGTTTTGTACGACAGTAAGTCAATTAGAAAAGCTATATATTTAGTAAACACTGAGCTTCAAATTCTTCTTAAAACTAAAGTATCATTTATCAGACATGATGAAGTAATCGCTTTTACGATACTGTCTTATTACAATATGTTACTATCCGTAAAAATGGTAAATCTTCGAGTTGATTTTTCATGGCTTGGCTGACGTCACTTCCGTCCGTCCGTCCGTACATACCTACGTACGTCCGTGTACACGACACAGGAATCCCGTTTGATGTCAAAGCAAAACTTCTCACCAATTCGGCTCTAAAATGCAAGAAAAAATCGCTTTAGGTCAAGTTATAGACCAAAAACAATTTGAAAAAAACCTTCATGTAGTCAAAGAGGGATCAAGAAGTGCTCTTCAAGAATTCAGGTGTGTGTTTTTTAGTGATACAATCGTATATATATATGTTTTTTGACAAGCATTTTTCTCGACGAATCGACAAATCAAAAACTTTCTCTCAAAACTTTTTAAATTTCTATGGATAAGCTATCGATATTAATTACTTCATTTTAATGCTGGAGGAAATATAACATGAAGAGCATATTACAACAAATATTTGTCCTTTATTTAGCTTTGTAAATCTTTAACAATTCGGTTGTTTTTAACCAACTATCGTATGTTTTTCGTTCAAGAAAAATGCAGTTTTGTTCGCCTCCTATCGCGGGGTCCCATCGGCGAAACAAAGAAGACTTTCATTCAATAATTTCATATCTTTCCACAGATAATTTGTTTAATCATTGAATGAAATATAAATTTACACCAAATATTCAACTGTTTATTAAGCTGTTAGAGCAAGTATGATTATAAAAATGAGCTTAAATTTGTGTTGTTGAGATATGTTATTGTATAAAGACCTAGACTTTCACTTTAAAAAGCTAA